GTATTGTGTCTGCCTTTTGAGAAGAAAAAACCGAGATCATGTAGCACGCCAGGCACCCCTGCGATGAATCGACAGGGGGCGGCGGATCGAAGACGCCTACATCGAATCACCGCCGCCCCCTGCCTTTCTGGAAGCGCCTATGTGGCCGAACGTTGAGGCCAGACTTGCCAAGCTATCGGACCATGTGTTCCCCGAATCGGTTTGGAAAGCCTTCGGGGAACACGTGGGCGTCTTGATGGTCATCTTGGCCGCCTGGAGGCCATTCTGACCCTTCCGGGCCTTCTTGGAGGACGTCTTGGAGGGCTCTTGAGCCGTCTTGGAGGCCATCTTGAGCCCTTTTGGGCGCCTATTGGGCGATCCTGGGGGCCTCTTGGGCCGTGGGCCGTCGGAAAGCCGAAAAGGCGCAAATGCCAAATTCCTTCAAACACCTAAGGAAAATCAATGATTTTGGCCCTTTCGGGCCTTCCTGGAGGACGTCTCGGAGGGCTCTTGGGCCGTCTTGGAGGCCTCTTGCGGGCCTGTTGGGCCGTCGTAGACCATCTTGGGGCCATCTTGGGGCCATCTTGGGCCGTCTTGGGGGCATCTTGGGGCCATCTTAGCAGTCTTGGAGGCCGTCTTGGAGGCCATCTTGGAGACCATCCTGGGCCGTCTTGACCGTCTTGGAGACGTCTTGGAAGCCATCCTGGAGGAAACAGAGGCACGACGGACGCGTTTTGAGATCCTTTCCGGGCGGCCGGCGGGACGGGCCGAAGCCCCAGAGGAGTTCTTCTGGAAAAAGAACCAAAACCAAAAGCCATATCGTCCGGCACGCCAGGCACCCCTTTGATAAATCAAAAGGGGGCGGCGGATCGAAGACGCCTACGGCGAATCACCGCCGCCCCCTGCCTTTGTGGAAGCGCCTATGTGGCCGAACGTTGAGGCCAGACCTGCCAAGCCATCGGACCATGTGTCCCCCGAATCGGTTTGGAAAGCCTTCGGGGAACACGTGGGCATCTTGAAGGTCATCTTGGCCGTCTTGGAGGCCTCTTGGGCGATCTTTCGGCGATCTTTGGGGGCTCTTGGGCCGTCTCGGGCCGTCGGAAGGCCGAAAAAAGGGAAATGCCCAAATCCATCAAAAACCTTGGGAAAATCAGTGATTTTGGCATCTTTGGCCTTCCTGGAGGCCTCTTGGGGGCCTCTTGGGCCCTTTTGGGCCAGCTTCGAGCCAACTTCGGCCATCTTGGTGGGTTCCTGGCACGTCTGACGCCGTCGGGAGCCGTTTTGGGGCCTTTCTGGGCCAACGGGGGACCCTCTTGGGGCGCTCCAGGGCCGTCTTGGAGGCCATCTTGGGCGTCTTGGAGGCCATCTTGGGCGTGTTGGAGGCCTCTTGGGCCGTCTTGGGGCCCTCTAGGGGCCATCTTGGAGGCCACTTGGGCCATCAGGGGCTCTCTTGGGGGCCTCTTGGGCGATCTTGGGGGCTTCTTGGGCCGTCTTGAGCCGTCGGAGAGCCGAAAAGGCGCAAATGCCAAAATCCTTCAAAAACCAATGGAAAATCAATGATTTTGGCCTCTTCGGACTCTCCTGGAGGACCTCTTGGAGGCCTCTTGGGCCGTCTGGGAGGCCTCTGGGGGGCCTCTTGGGCCGTCTTGGGCCGTCTTGGACTCTCTTGGGCCGTTTTGGAGGCCGTCTTGGACCATCTCGGGCGGACTTGGAGGCCATCTTGGGCCATCTTCGCGATTTTTTGAGGATGTCCCGAGCGAAACGGCCGTTTTTGGAGGATTGTTTCGCCGGATTTTGGAGGTGTTTTCGGCTGGCCGGGACCCGGCGGGACGGGCCGGAGCCCACTGGGGAGTTCTTTTGGAAAAAGAACCAAAACCAAAACCTGACAGCTCTTCCAGCACGCCGTGCACCCCTGCAAGCAGGGGGCGGCGGATCGAAGACGCCTACGGCGAATCACCGCCGCCCCCTGCCTTTTTGGAAGCGCCTATGTGGCCGAACGTTGAGGCCAGACCTGCCAAGCTATCGGACCACGTGTTCCCCGAATCGGTTTGGAAAGCCTTCGGGGAACACGTGGGCAGGCGGAAGGTCATCTTGGCCGTCTTGGAGGCCTCTTGGGCAAGCTTTGGGCGATCTTTGGGGCTTTTTGGGCCGTCTCGGGCCAGCTTCGAGCCAACTTCGGCCATCTTGGTGGGTTCCTGGCACGTCTGAAGCCGTCGGAAGCCGTTTGGGGGCCTCTATGGGCCGACTTGGGGCCCGCTTGGAATGCTCCAGGGCCGTCTTGGAGGCCATCTTGGGCGTCTGGGAGGCCATCTTGGGCGTGTTGGAGGCCTCTTGGGCCCTCTTGGGGCCCTCTAGGGGCCATCTTGGAGGCCACTTGGGCCATCATGGGGCTCTCTTGGGGGCCTCTTGGGCGATCTTGGGGGCTTCTTGGGCCGTCTTGAGCCGTCGGAGAGCCGAAAAGGCGCAAATGCCAAAATCCTTCAAAAACCAATGGAAAATCAATGATTTTGGCCTCTTCGGACTCTCCTGGAGGACCTCTTGGAGGCCTCCTGGGCCGTCTGGGAGGCCTCTGGGGGGCCTCTTGGGCCGTCTTGGGCCGTCTTGGACTCTCTTGGGCCGTTTTGGAGGCCGTCTTGGACCATCTCGGGCGGACTTGGAGGCCATCTTGGGCCATCTTCGCGATTTTTTGAGGATGTCCCGAGCGAAACGGCCGTTTTGGGCATTGAAATTGGGGAATTGAGGTCCTGAAGGGTGGCCGGCGGGACGGGCCGAAGCCCACTGGGGAGTTCTTTTTAGAAAAAGAACCAAAACCAAAACCTGACAGCTCGTCCAGCACGCCGTGCACCCCTGCAAGCAGGGGGCGGCGGATCGAAGACGCCTACGGCGAATCACCGCCGCCCCCTGCCTTTGTGGAAGCGCCTATGTGGCCGAACGTTGAGGCCAGACCTGCCAAGCCATCGGACCATGTGTTCCCCGAATCGGTTTGGAAAGCCTTCGGGGAACACGTGGGCGTCTTGATGGTCATCGTCGCCGTCTTGGAGGCCTCTTGGGCGATCTTTCGGCGATCTTTGGGGGCTCTTGGGCCGTCTCGGGCCGTCGGAAGGCCGAAAAAAGGGAAATGCCCAAATCCATCAAAAACCTTGGGAAAATCAGTGATTTTGGCATCTTTTGGCCTTCCTGGAGGCCCTCTTGGGGGCCTCTTGGGCCCTTTTGGGCCAGCTTCGAGCCAACTTCGGCCATCTTGGTGGGTTCCTGGCACGTCTGACGCCGTCGGGAGCCGTTTTGGGGGCCTTTCTGGGCCAACGGGGGACCCTCTTGGGGCGCTCCAGGGCCGTCTTGGAGGCCATCTTGGGCGTCTTGGAGGCCATCTTGGGCGTGTTGGAGGCCTCTTGGGCCGTCTTGGGGCCCTCTAGGGGCCATCTTGGAGGCCACTTGGGCCATCAGGGGGCTCTCTTGGGGGCCTCTTGGGCGATCTTGGGGGCTTCTTGGGCCGTCTTGAGCCGTCGGAGAGCCGAAAAGGCGCAAATGCCAAAATCCTTCAAAAACCAAGGAAAAATCAATGATTTTGGCCTCTTCGGACTCTCCTGGAGGACCTCTTGGAGGCCTCTTGGGCCGTCTGGGAGGCCTCTGGGGGGCCTCTTGGGCCGTCTTGGGCCGTCTTGGACTCTCTTGGGCCGTTTTGGAGGCCGTCTTGGACCATCTCGGGCGGACTTGGAGGCCATCTTGGGCCATCTTCGCGATTTGTTGAGGATGTCCCGAGCGAAACGGCCGTTTTTGGGCACGGTGGCGGGACGGGCCGGAGCCCACTGGAGAGTTCTGTTAGAAAAAGAACCAAAACCAAAACCTGAAACGTCCAGCACGCCGTGCACCCCTGCAAGCAGGGGGCGGCGGATCTAGTGGCCTTCGGCCCATCCCGCCACCGTGCTTGGGTTGTGGGTTAGGGGCCTCTTGGATGTTCGTTTGTATATCGCGGGAGGCCTCTCGGGGGCCTCTTGGAGGCAGTTTTGATGCCTCTTGGGGCCCGTTTGGGGGCCTCTTGGGCCCCCTTTTGGGGGCTTTGTGGGGCCCCTCGGGGGCCTCTTGGGCTCTCCTGGATCGGAGCATCTTGGGGCCTCCAGGGGGTCTCTTTGGGCGGAAGGCGCGAATTGTCGGCTGGTGTTCCCCATCTTGGGCCCCCTTTGGGGTCCTCTTGGGCGACTCTTGGGCCCTTTTGGTGCCCTTTTTGGACCGTCTCAGGGCCCTCGTGGGGACCTCGTGGAGGCCGTCTTGGGGCGGTCGTGGAGGCCTCTAGGGCCATCATGGAGCGTCGGAAGCTCGAACACCTGAGAACGCAACAAACACATAGAAGAACACATGGAACACACATGATGTGTGCCTCGATGAGCCCTCTAGGGGATCTTCTTGGAGCGCTCGTGGGGCTTCTTTGGGGCCTCTTGGATTGTCTTGGGGTCATCTTGGGCGTCTTGGATCGCTCGTGGCCTGTCTTGGAGGCCTTTTGGACCCGCTTGGGCGCTTTCTGGGACCCCCTTGGCCCGTCGTGGCGCCTTCCTGGCCTCTTGGCGAAGTCGTGCGAGTCAGCCCCCAGAACGCCCAGGAATTTTGGAGAGTGTGGGCCCGCCGCCCTTAGAGCACTGTAATCCCAGAGTCCTGAGCATAGAGAGAACAGAGGACACCCGAGAGCCTGGAGAAAACTCCACCTCGCGCCTTGCGGCACGGTGGCGGATTAATATAAACAATTCCTTCCCTTGGGCGACCAGCAGGCAACGGCACCGTTGATGCCCCCCCACCATCTTTCTCAAAAAACAGAGTAAAGTCCACCTTGGCGGCAACATCTCGGGTGATGGTCGAGGGGGGCCGCGAGCATTTTGTATTGTTCTTGCTGACAGGGACGGCGGGGGCGCCTGCGTATTGCCTGCTGCGCGCAGGGCCCGCACCCTTGATCAAAACGCAGTGCAACATGCATTTCGAGACAAGATCGGGGTCGTGCGCGGACGCCCCGCCATCACTGCGCATGGGTTCTT